TTTACCATGCAAAAACACAAAAAAAAATTATAATTTTTGGTAAAACTGACCCATGTTTAGTGATGTTTTTGTAAAAAAAAGGGGGATTTTTTGGTGAAAAAGTGACCCATTAGAGCAGCACACCCCTGTATGTCTTAAGCTGTGAGTACCCCCTCCCTGGATGTGGACCAGAAAAGAACTAAGATTCCTTATTTCGGCAACTACTTAAACTATTTATAGAGTAAAGTTTGGGGTATTTTGCAAAATGAAATGCTCAGTATCATCACATATCGCACACACGCATCACATTCCAAAGTCACACACGAACAGCAGAAGCAATGAAAAAGTATCAATAAATTTTAATTTTGAAAATGCGCATCTTGTTAGTGTTTCCGTAAAGCGACATACCGGTAGTTCAAAAGACTGGGCTGTCTTCAAGAATTTTTTTTGTTTTAGATTAGGATTTTTCGTGAATCACATGCTTAAAAGTGCATTAATTGCAGTCACCAATAGTCCATGTGTGAAACACACACTCGCGAAGGATCCGTATGTATTTTCATGTGTCTGAGTGGTAGGTCAAGTGTTATAATGCAAGTTGTCTGTATGTTTGTGTTCTGAATGAATCACTGATATACACATAATCTAGATTTGTCAACAACTCAACTTATAAAAAACATGCAAACTTATTATGTCATTAAGAGTCCTGTATATAGTATGTACATGTATATTTGTATATTTGTATAAAGAAGTGTCATACAATAGAGAGAGAGAGAGAGAGAGAGAGAGAGAGAGAGAGAGAATAAATTTATTTGTATGTTACGCTTAATAATTATATCGTGTTGTGCTGCTTGTGCGCTATTGGTCCTTTTTTTCTAGGTTTTGTTTTACTATGGTTGACCACATGTTGACAGATAATGCATTAGATCCTGCTTGTCTTCCTTCCTGTTTAGAGTAACACTGCATGCAATTTTTTTTTTTTTTTGGGGGGGGGGGGGGGCAGGATATAAGAATGAAATGAAAATAATGAGACAAGTGCAGATTTGGGAAGGATATAAGGTCAGAGAAGGAATGAGAGAAAAGGAGTGTACATGTAGACTTTTAAAGAGAAATACACAATGAGAGAGAGGAATATATATTTACTCTTTGTATACAATACATACATGTATATGTATATATAGTTTGATAAATCTTCATTGTGGAGAGAGAAAAAACAGTGTACTCATACATATAGACCTAAAACATGCATGAAACTTTCACAAATTGTATTTAAATGGCCCACATTGGCAAAAGTTTCATGCCATAGAAAAAAATTATTGAATTCCACTACAAATTAGTGTCCAACAGACAATATATTATTGTATCACAGTATTGATATCATGTACAGATCCATATTGTATTTTGAAACTAGTGACAAATGGTTATTTCCTGGTACATTTACAAACATGCAACAATGATTTGAACTCCCCCCTAAATCTCTCTCTCTCTCTCTCTCTCTCTCTCTCTCTCTCTCTCTCTCTCTTTCTTTAGGAACCAAAGTTCACTAACAAATGTCCATTCATGAATCATACAATTGTTTTTGCCACCTCAAAGTTTTGGCAATGATTCTGATTTTTGTTAAAAGTATTTGATGTTTTGTACATGTATGTATGTCATATAGTGCATGCTATTGGCTTTTGACAATCCTTTTGTTAAAGGCTGCTGCGTATCTGTGGCAGCAGAATCATTAGGCAGAATATTATTTATTTACTTATCAAAATAATATTTCAAGGTCACACATGTTAAAACTGTTAGATGGAAAATACCAAAGTTGAGTATACTTTTTAAGAATAAATATGTGCTCTGTATGTACATTAATTCAAATACATGTACAGTGTATGTACTTAAATGAGAGTTTTATTTGATATTTCTTCATGTACTATTAACATTATCTTGGAATAGTTTAATATTTAATCTTTTTTATTTGTTCTTTTCCCAGCATCAATGTGACTCTCTTCCAACATTACTATTGTGTTGTTTGCATTGTCTTATTTTTTTTTTTTTGTCTTTGCCCCTAACGAAATCGAAGGAAAAATCCTTTCAAGAGATGGGATTGATTTGACTTCCATTGTCTTCTTGTTTTTTCTTGTTCTTTTTCTTTGCCAGCAAATGACTATTACATAAACACACTTTGGATAGATTAGATTGAATTCACTTTCACTATTATGGCACAGTGTAGCAGATGAACCCACAAAGGGTGCGTTTAATCAACACTTTTTCACCCTAGAATCACTATTTTCAAAGACGTTTAGTTTAAAACGCAATTCGTTCAAGCAATTTTTTTGTCGGTCGTAAGAATAAACGTGTTTGAAAACACAAACATAAAACGCTGAAAAAGATGCGTTTTGTATCATGATTCTGCAAAATCATGGTCGCTAAAATTTGATTGAACGAACGTAGTCTCAATCATGATTCCATGTGGCCTGTTCCGGTTTGGGCAAAAGCCGCGTGCCTGCTTTTCATGCAATTTGCGTTCACTATACCATGCGCTTTATCGTGGCCTGTTCCGTTATGTTATTCTTTGTTTCTTCCTTCTATTCTTATGTTTTTCTTTGTTTTTTCCTTCTATCACCTTCTCTTATGTTATTCTTTGTTTTTATAATTCTAACACTTTCTCTTTTGTTATTCTTTGTTTCTTCCTTCTATTCTTATGTTATTCTTTGTTTTTTCCTTCTATCACTTTCTCTTATGTTATTCTTTGTTTTAATCATTCTATCACTTTCTCTTATGTTATTCTTTGTTTTGATCATTCTATCATTTTCTCTTTCTGTCTTTCCTTATGTTATTCTTTGTTTCTTTCTTCTATTCTTATGTTATTCTTTGTTTTTTCCTTCTATCACCTTTTCTTATGTAATTCTTTGTTTTAAGCATTCTATCACTTTCTCTTATGTTATTCTTTGTTTCCTCCTTCTATCACTTTCTCTTATGTTATTCTTTGTTTTAATCATTCTAACACTTTCTCTTATGTTCTTCTTTGTTTTAATCATTCTATCATTTTCTCTTTCTGTTTTTCCTTTTGTTATTCTTTGTTTCTTCCTTCTATTCTTATGTTATTCTTTGTTTTTTCCTTCTATCACTTTCTCTTATGTTATTCTTTGTTTTAATCATTCTATCACTTTCTCTTATGTTATTCTTTGTTTCTTCCTTCTATTCTTATGTTATTCTTTGTTTCTTCCTTCTATCACTTTCTCTTATGTTATTCTTTGTTTCTTCCTTCTATCACCTTCTCTTATGTTTTTCTTTGTTTTAATCATTCTATCACCTTCTCCTATGTTATTCTTTGTTTTAATCATTCTATCGACTTTCTCTTTCTGTCTTTCCTTATGTTATTCTTTGTTTCTTCCTTCTATCACCTTCTCATTCTTTGTTTTATTATTGCGATCTATGCTCAAAACAGAAGGCGACAGTCGGCCGTAAACAATTCCAGAAAGCGTGCGCCAAGGTTGAACTATACTTCCTGGGTCAAACTTGCGCAGTGGCTGGGCTCGAAATGAGCTAGAATCAGCGTTGATGAAAAATCGCCTGAACGCAAACCGCAGTGACCTTGTTTTTTGTAACAGCGTTTTGATTTGTGATTCATGTTTGTGATTCTAGCTTTGAAAAATCGATTGAACGCACCCACACTGTCCTGTAGTTCTAATGCTTATTTCAAAATGCGCTTGATTTGATATTTGATGCTCATGCTGTGGTGGCAAGTTGTTATTCTTTCAATTTTGGTCTTTATGTTTGTTGTTTTGTCGTGGGTTTTTTTTTAAAATTAATTAATTGAAAGATTGTGTGACACAATCTCTAGGAAGAATTACTCTGCAGACAATGCCCCTCTATTTGAATTTGCTAACTTCAACCCTGAACCCAATACTCAACCCAATTAACCCTAAGCTAAACTAAACCCCATTATAATATAACCCTAATCTTTAAGTAACCTAAAACCAAATTATAACCTCAACCCTACGTGTATATCTGTCACAAAATAAATATGAGAGGAAATGTTGATGAATTGTCAGATCACCAATAAAACTACTTTTCTTTTATAGGAATGTATAATAATCTATATATAACTTCAAAGCAAAGTTAGTAATCACTATGTCATGTATTTGTTTTAGTGGTAGGATATATATTTTTGGTTTGCATATCCTGGTCGTAAAGCTAATTTTAGCTTCAATAAAATCAATTAGAATGATTTGGAGCCTATATAAATATGTTTTAAAAGCATCATTAAGAATCAAACATATCCCTCAAAACCGAATCATATGTACAAGAGGGGAACTTTATATAGAATCTTATAGATATATTCAAATACCTGTATACATGTCTGTTGTACATGTTAGATGCATTTAGTTTAGTTGTGTAGTGATCGAAGTTCAGCTTCGAGTAGGATCTTGTAATTTGTCTGCCAATGTAAGGAAAAACCTTTGAAGAATAATGACTGAAATGTATTGAAAAAGAAGACAATTTAACTAGATAAGAATTCTACAGCAGTTTTACAGAATTACAATAAATAAAATAGTAAAATAAAAGATAAATATAATAAATCGTAAATATCGTCATAATTGGAAGACTTAAATCTTAAAGGAACTGCAGCTCAATCCACTTCCCCAATCCACTTCCCCAATCCACATTTACAACTACATGTATTTAGAGCTGGAGGGTTTTTTACTTTGTATTTAGGGATACAAGTTAATCTCCTTGTGGCTACAAACAGTCTAGTTCACATAACATTTGAACTGATTAATTGTTCTTGTACATAATGTACACATGTCTATGTCCATGTAGGTACATGTATGTACATGTTGTTTAAGTGCAATGCATACTGTGTGCTAGTATGAGAAACTCCCTTTTGTTTAGAAAACAGAAATGGCTGTTCATTCAGATGAGCACATCAATTGGCTTCATTTCAAGGTTGAATATTCTTTTGTGCCAAGTTAAGAAGTCATGAATTTGTCTTTTATTGTCAATTTTTGTCAATTTTTCTCTTTTTCCCACAGTTCATGGAAGCACATGGCAACCTGAAGGCCAAAGAAAAGTATGAGCAATATGTTCCAAAGTTCTACAGAAGACCAACAGAGAAAGATTGCCAGTAAGTCAAATGCTCCTCAAGCAATTTTTAGGTGGTCTGTCATCATCAACAGATCACCTTTGTTCAGAATATTCTTTCTTTATTTTTTTTCTTTTTTTTTTTCTTTTTTTCTTTTTTTCTTTTTTTCTTTTTGTCTTTTTGTCTTTTTGTCTTTTTTTCTATCTTTATAAATTATTTAAAGTCACTTTCTATTCAGTTCTGATTCTAATTTATCATTGTCATAGTCAATGTCATTCCACCCAAGGTCTTTTCAAATAAAAGTGCGCTAATGCCAACGTCCGTGAATCTGTGCCCGCAAAAATTAAAAAATACTCAGAATGAATGATCATCTCAAATTCATATTGCACAAATTTCTGGTCGTTTTAAACATTTAGAGAGCTTAGGCCTTATTTTGTCTTAAAATCTGTAACTGTTTTGTTTTAATAAACGCAAAATTTAAATACGACTAATTTCTATTTACCTAGACTTTAGTAGTATTGATACTTATTGAATTTTGTAGACATTTAGTACTGGTAATCAATGTACACAAAAATGAAAAAGAAGCTGACGATGCTGTATTTAGGTCTGATATTCTTTAATGCAATCTGTACCCCTTCAAGTACAAAGTAAATTACAAAAAGTGTTTTAAGGGAAACATGCTTATATTCTTGTATAGTCTTTCTAGCATAACCTGGGAGAGAAAGATCAAGGGGGCGGTATCCTGACTTAAATGTAAAATTGATGCCTTTAATAATGTTGTATCCCCACGAGCTGAAACTCTTCATATCACCATGGTTACTCTTCTGATGCAGGGTTCTACGAGAGCAGTGGATACGTGCAAAGTATGAGCGCCATGAGTTCATGGACCTGGACAAGCAGACGTATCGGTCGGGCAAGAAGACGGGCTATCTGTGGAAGAAAGGCAGGGATGATAACAGGTTCCAGCATAGACTCTTTGTCCTGTCAGAAGATGATAACACACTCAAGTATTATAACAAAGAAAATGTAAGCTGCTAGACATATTCCTCAATTATTTGATTTTAATTGGCTTAAAGGGGTTGTAAACTGACTAGACTTCCCGTGATCTGACTCGGGCCCAATCGGGTATAATAGGACTACGGACAACAAGACCGCAGCAAGAACGCTGACCATGTAGAGATTTAATCGCTGACTACCGTTAATCAAGTCAATTCGTTTACGTGCAGTTGTCCAAAAGGAGACGTAGATGGCGTTCCCCTGTATTCTTCAGTTTTCACCCCCTTTAATAACTGGCTGCTGCTTGAATAGCACCCATGGAACAGTACAGCTTCGGGCCGGGTAGAGACATAAGAGGACTTGCTTGCATTATTGTTCAATTATTTTCCTGCTTGAAAATCAGTTTGACATGTTTGGACTGTATAAGAAATGTATGAAAATTAGTAGAGAAAGCTAACACAAACCTCAAATGCAGTATTGCTTTCTTTAAAATATATATTTTTCAAATCATGGGTAATTGTGGCATGGATTTCTACAATTACCTTTTAGTGGTCTCAAAATTTCTCTTTTCAAATCAACCATCTTCCTAATTGAAACTTCCCGGCGTGACAGTGTTTTAGATGTTATGATTGTCATGATTGAATATATTTTGCAATTTTAATCTGTAAAAGATTGAGCAATTCTGCCTTTGGTCACGATGACATTTTATTTAATAAACCATTTCAATTTTTAATTCAAACATATAACTACTTGAGAAATTCCTCCCATAAGATTAATTTTGACTTTGATTTTAGAGAGAATTATGATCTTATAAATGCCTCTTTTATTGTTTTACTGAGACAGGAATAGAAAATGGATAGCTATTCATTTTTTAAACACCCCAAAACCACTTAATCTTCACAGGTGCATTTTATTGAATATATTCATTTATTTGTAAAGTTTGAAAAAAGAGTTTGAAAACACCTTGATTTTCCAATGTGGTCTTTGACTTATCCTCCAGGCAAAAGAGCCCAAGGCAACAATACTATTGTCTGAGTTGAATGCTGTATTCACCCCAGAGAAGATCGGCAATCCTAACGGCCTCCAGTTGAGCTATATCAAGGAGAATATGACTAGGAATATCTACCTCTATACCAATGATGGAAAAGTAAGTAATGATAATACTTACTTCTTTAGTAACAAACATGTTGTCAGCACATGGTACTGTAGTTGCGACAGCTCAGTTGGTAGAGCAGTGGTCTCGTAATCTGGAAACCAGGTTCCAAACCAAGTCGATGCGCTTGTGTACTTTGGTGAGGCATTAATCCTCATTACCAGGTCCCTCAGAGAGGACCTAAATCCGTCAGTCCTCTGGCTGCTTACTAACAAGCACTTATGCTTTCTTAGCAGTCAGGTGAAAAAACCACTACTACTAGTCACATTGCCATATCGACTGGAAAACTATTCCAAAAGGACTGATTGTGGGCCATTCGTTCAAATTATTATTATTTTTTTATTTTTTTATTTATTTATTTATTTATTTATTTATTTTATTTTTTTTTGGGGGGGGGGGGGGGGGGGGAGGGGGGTCGCAATTGTTAGTGATCTAGTGGTGGACCCCATAAGACAAATCTTAGCAATTGATTGTATAATAACATCATGAACTTCTCTGTGTGTGGCATAGCTACCATTTTGATGAGCATGGCAATGCTTTGTGATGGGTTGTTATACTTCAGTACATTGATCTTTGCATAAATTTCATGAGGCATATTTACCTGATTCCATATTTCTCTCCTTTTTCTTCCTTCTCAATGTTCCTTTGCAGGATATAGTAGACTGGTACATGGCAATCCGTCATGCAAAGTTCAACAGACTCAAAGTGGCATACCCAGGGGCAAGTGATGAAGATGTAAGATTCCATTTTGTTTAAAAAAATGTACCCAATCTTATACGGATTACACACCTTTGTTTCCTCCTTTTTGAGATTATCTCCATCTATCTTTGAAATGTTCATACAAACATTTTGCTCTAGATTGATTCTTGTCTTATTAGTAGTTCATTAGGTCCATGATATCCCTTTTTTTATCATAAAAAGATGTTTCAAAGAGGCCCTTGAGGGTATGACAATTGCTCTGGCATTAATGGCTCTGCAGTCATTATTTTACACTAATCAATTTCATAACTTGAGTCTCCAAAAGCATTGTACTTTACTCCAACTATAGCCTTCAACCTAATTTTAATGCCATCTGCAACCCTAACATGATTCCTGCAATAAAAATCAAGCCCCAGAGCCAACCTCCCCCCCCCCCCCCCTTTCAGGCATACTGTTTGCATCTGGTGTTGAAATCCTGCATGTCACTGCCTCACCAATCAGAAGATTCTATAGATTCAGTATTTGTTCAAGTATTCATTTTTTGTATACGGTATGTGTAAATGAATGGCAGGAGGGATTTTTGCACACACAAAAAAGACAAAAATAAAATGGGAAGATGCATGCTGCAGTGGCCCTTAAAGATGAAGTTGAGTTCTGGTCATGCGATTGCATTGTGAAAGAAACGGTGTGAAATCGACCAGAAAAGGTTGATCATCTAGCATATAAGAATTTGTGTGTATTGCAAGGTTCTGGAATCATCAAAATGATAAGAAATTTGGCCAAGTCTTGGTAAAGTTACAAACACTGTACACAGAAAGATGTATATGGGACTACACGAACACGTGGCGTAAAAATCCTACCCCCCGAGTTTTACGATGAACATGACATATTTAGAATATGAAGGCATTTGAAGAGCCATGCTTTTCAAGGAACATGTCTTACCTGATGTTCTTCCACACTTGCATAATAAGAATGATAACGCTCACAAATATTTTTCACCTCTTCCCAGAACTCAACCTTCTCTTTAAGTACACTCAGTGACTTGTGTGGTACATTACCATTTGGTCCAATCATGATAGTCAAATACCCATATAGTATATCATCCTTTGGTCTGACATCAGTTTATCTATCAATATTTTATCCAATCACCATTTGATTTGGCCAAGTGGCATTGGACCAAATAGCAATAAACCACTTGTGTCTTGCAGATAGGGATATTCAATCTGCACTATCTTTCTTTACGCTTCATTTTGATTTTGCCATTCATATTTCTATTTGGCTGTTTACTAACTCAGTTCAATGTTTTTTTAAATACTTCTATAATATTGGATGGCTTTGAGTGTGATACATGAATATATTGCTTGAGCTATGACAATATTGGACAAGTCGAAGACGAGTCTAATATTGTCTTTAATAGCGAGAGCAATATATTCTTGCATCACACGAAATCAAAGCCGTACAATTTTAATATTATTATTATCTATATTAGTCTGACTAGCGAATTAAAAATAACAAAATTTGACTTAGCTAGGTAAATATGGCTTTGTTTTCGTTTTATATTGCCATGATATCGATATCGATAGTTGAATTTCCTGGATGACTGAGCAATACGAAAACAACATTGGTTAGTCATCCAAGTATTGTGCTAAAAATATTGAATACACTGATTTATTGTACCACTAGGAAGCCTTATATAGATAATGATGTTGAATATTTTGTGCCCTCCCAGCTGGCCCTACAATTAACACGAGACTTCTTGAAGGAGGGATGGTTGGCCAAGACTGGGCCCAAGGGAAACGAGGCCTACAGGCGACGCTGGTTCTCACTCGATGGCCGCTTATTAAGTTATTACTCAGATCCACTCGTAAGTTATCCTACTCCTCTTTCGTTTGGAGATGTGAGATGTGAGTTGGTCATGCAGTAATGTCCATGCTGCAAACAGCTCTTTGTCTTTGCCTGCAAACTGACTATGATCGATTATATCAGACACAATATTGAATATCACGTCCATGCCTGATCATGTCCGATCAATACACATCAATTGGACGAATACCAAATTTACTATTCAAATATTTGGGGAAAGAGGTATTCGATAGTTCCAATATTTGGAATACAAAGTTTCAAAGTCAATCCTGCCAATGCAATGTCCGGTGCAGTGGCACCATTTTCTAGACCTATAAACACTACCTTAAAATACAATATTCTGATGTAGCAATTCTGTAAAAAAATCGTTTAGAACAACAGTGATGTGCATTTTCATACTTATCAAAAAAGGCTATTAAAGAAACATCAGAAAAATAGAAGTCAACTTCATTTTTGACTTAAGGTAGAGTCTATAAAACTAGTCCAAAATGCCTGGTATGTAAGTAGCAAAAGATAAGTTTGGGGGCGCAATTTTGTTGTTTGGCCCAGGCACAATTATACCTAAATTTGGCAATGCAAAATTAGGACATAATTTGTGCTCTATTTTTTTTTGTCATGTTTTATTGTCAGTTTTTCCATCATGCTTTTCTATGGTGGGTTTGAAAACTTTCTAAAAGCCAAAGTGGGCCTCGACTTAAAAAAGGCTGAGAAGCGCTGTTCTAGATGATGTGGTTTTATGATGTAAGCTCATTCGTCATCCTGTGGAAATCATACGTTTGACCCGTTTCTTGTGCTTTCATGCAGGATTACTTCACTGATAAACAATTTATCTGCATGTGTCTTTTACAACTTATCCCCCTTCCTTTTCCTTTTCTTCCCCCCCCCCCTCTATTTATATCCTCTTCTCTCCTTTCCCTCCTCCACCGTGTCCACCTTTCCTTCCTTTCTTTCTCCCTCTCACCCTCTCTCTTTCTCTCTCTTTTTCTCTCTATCTCTCTCCCCCTCACTCTCTCTCTCTCTTTCTCTCCCCCTCTCTCTCTTCTTATTATTTCGCTCTTCAATCTAGTCTCCTTTCGACCTCTTTCTCTCTTCTCAATCTTTAAATGTCGACTCCTTTCTTAGGTTTTCCCTATTATTACGTAATTTATATTTATGCTTTTTTTTAATGTCATGACTCTTGAGTGAATTTATGTATATTATGTGTTGTATACACCCAAGTGTTAATCAATTATTTTGAAACTACATTGTATTTTGTTTATGTGCTGCCAGTGGAGGCCAATTTTCTATGTTTTGAATATGGATCAATAAAAGAATCTATTTATCTATCTATCTAGGATGCCTTCCCCAAGGGAGAGGTGGTGCTCGGGACGAGATCAGATGGCTTCACAGTGAGGGAGGGTGTACCCCCAGGCCGTCTGGACCAGCTGTACAGCTTCACCCAGGTGACACCAACGCGCCAGTACTACCTGAGCGCAGACCTACAGGAGGAGAGGAGGCAGTGGATGGAGGTCCTCATGAAGGTCATCGACACGCCCCAGTCCAGGCAGGATAAGATGCTCATGAGCTTGGTCAACAAGGAGAAGTAGGAGGATGAAGGATGGGGAGGAGTGGGAGATTGGTGGAAGGAGAGAGGGGTATGGGTCGAAGGTGATTGTGGGACAAGTGGAAGAGGGGCATACGATTGATAGAAGTGGAGAGGGATTAGTAGAAGAGGAGAGGGATTGATAGAATAAGTGAGGGGAGTTGGTGGAAGAAGAGAGGGGTATGGGTGGAAGAGGGGCATGAGAAAGATATAAGAGGAGAGGGATTAGTAGGAGAGGAGAGGGATTAGTAGGAGAGGAGAGGGATTAGTAGAAGAGGAGAGGGGGATTAGTAGAAGAGAATAGGGGAGTTGGTGGAAGAGAAGCAGGGGATTGGTGGAAGAGGAAAAGGGGAATTCTGAAAGCGAAGAAAAGAAAGAGTTAAGCTAGATAAGCCCTGTATCAGGGGGTTGAAGATACATGTAAAGATGATAGGGGTGATACAGATGAATGAGGGGCAAATTATTGTGATTGTAAAAAGAGAAAATTAATTGAAAATGGAATAAGAACATAAAATGGGGTGAAGGTGAGGTGCTTGAAACCTTTGAATTAGAAAGCCCTATTGGTTGGTAGAATTTACATGTATATTATATAACGTATGTACATACAGCAGTGCCAATGAAATATGATGTAACCATTATAAATTTTCACAAGGAAATGTTGACATTCAGATCTGAAGGAAAAAAATCAAATATTCAAAATCTATAAAGGACTATTTAAATCTTCTCTGTCTTGTGTTTATGATTATATATTTTACAGATGAATTTGTTATATTTTTGTTTTCAAACAGCATAGAGAATATAGATTATATATTTATATAGTTGAACTCGAGTGTTGTTCCTGGTAAAAGAAAGGCCACTATATTTTTTACATAGCGCTCATCCCGCATCCAGCTAAAGAAATTATCACAATTGTCATTTCTCTACTAAATTGGTTGGGAAATTAGAAAGAAGAACCATTTCTTGAAAATTTTGAATAAATATGCTTTAATTATCTGAATAATGGTTGAAGTCAAATATCAAAATCAAAATCAAGTAGAAGTTTTGTGCATAAAGACAATTTGATTTTGTGAGTTCTTTGAAAGAGAAGATAACTACCGGTTTTACATTTGAAGAGTTTAAATTTGAGTGCCAAAGTAATACCACCAAATTGAATAAAATTTGCATAAATTATTCATGATGGGTTTCATTCCAGCCTAAACTTAATGCTTTTGATTATGACCTGCATGCAAACAAATTGCACTTTTGTAAATTCTGTACCCAAAGTGTTGTTAACAGACCTGACTAATGTGAGAGCTAGAAACAGAGTAAACATGCACAGTACATGCCATTATGGGCCGCTTACAGAAGAGAACCTCCTGTTTAGATGTAATTTTATAAGCATGGCATTGCATCACTTCACACTCACTATCATAGTTAAGAATTTTTATCCTATGTGTAGTTATAGGCATTGAATCTTTCCTGAAATTATGTTTCTTCTACTGCAAGTCATGTAATGTTGTAAATTGTGTCTAGAATATCTGGAAAATGGTGTATATGTATTTGACTTATGTGCCATTAAGAATCATGGCATGTCTTTGTACAAGTAAATGTGTGTTTTATCTTTTTTGTCAGGGGAAAAGATTGTTAAAATGATTTATTTGTTTACTTTTTCCCCTTTTTTTTCAGTGAGACCCTAGCGCCATAGATTTACAAATTTATCGCTATAAATTTCCATGTAATCATGTGAGTCAGTGAACAAGAGGAAATTGATGATGTGCATGTATATTTTAATATCTCTTAAAATTGTATGCATTTATGTCTTTCATTAATCAGTTTATTCTTGATTGCATTTTCTTTCAATCATTTTCTTTCATGTGCTATTGCTGTGTTTTGATGTTTGTTAGTTTCATGTAATTATAGATGCTTTAAACCCTTACTTAAGACTCGTTAATGTCGTTAAAGATGTCATCTGAACTTTGATCAAACATTTCCAGGAGCTTCCAAATTTCATATTATATTCTAGAATAGATTTAAAATCATTCCATAATTTTAATCTTTCTTTCGAAGGAAAAGAGCGGACTCAAATTTATAGTCTTTCAATGAATTTTTCAAATTAATATTTGTCTACTTTGAGAATAACAAATTCATTGATATATAACGCATATTTTGTTGATTTTAATCGTGCTCATTTTATATACATTCCTGGCTTGTTATCTTCCAAAAAATCAGAGTATGCAATCTGACATTTTTGTTAACATGTACTTGTGCCTTAAGAAAATAAGCCTACATTTTATACCTTACAAAGCCTAGGGCATTTGAATTGTAGATCAATTTGGCTAAATAATCTCTCTGACAAATCTACAACTGCCAAGTAGACTTCATAGGCAAGATGTTGATATGTAGATAACGTTTTGTTTTGTTTTTGTAGTTTTTTACTTTTCAATGAAAAAAAAAAGCTCTATTTTATAGAAAAGGCAGAATCATGATGAATATATTTGGATTATGTCTGTCTAGTACACTTCAGACTGGGAAGATATAATTTTATACATATAACTTTATATTTTTGTAAACTATCAATATTTTTTTATTTCCATTTTCAAATGACTTTGTCTTGGAGGATACTCAGAATCACTCTCGCCCAATATGATTATATCATCGCTCCATTTATACAAAAATAGAAAATTACTACTGATAATGAAGTGCTGAATTTTCTTTAAGTGCAGATGATTATGAACATAAGTCTTGGGGCAAAAATGTACTTAATTCTGTCGATTTATGTAAACAAAAAAATAGTGTTAGAACAAAAAATGCAATAACATATTTTGTGTGAAATTTGGTGCATTTGATAAAGTTTTGTATGCATACATAACAAAGGCTGGTGAAAAATACTGCTTTTTTTCCTCTTTGGATTGGCAAGCTGAATTAAAAGAATTCATTGTATTTGATAGAAGACAACAGTGAAATATAACTTATGTAGAATGTAATTAGGATATGCTGGGTTAATCAGTGTAAAAATTCTTATATTGTGTGTGTGTGTTTGTGTGTGTGAGTGTGTGTGTGTAGGTGGAGAGCATTTTGTTTAAGACCAGGGTCATATATGTTTTTCAGTCTTTTTACACAACTCTTGTAAATTTAATGTTCAGTAGAAAACCAGATGAAAGGAGTTTACTTTTATATAGGTGCATGATAAATTAAGAAGGTTTATGAATGCTACTTCCAATTAGAATTGAACAAATCCAACTCATTTTGTCTCAAGGCTTGATCAATATTTCTATTATTATAAACTATGAATCAGCACCAAATACACTGTAACAAGTACATTGTGATATATGTGTGTTATGCATACGCTGATGTACTTAAGTATTAATATCTACTTAATAAGTTAAACCATCTATTTTTCACATCTCTTTTTCAAATCAACTTGTAATTATCCGTGACATAATTCAGTTGTGCATCGTGTATAAATATTTTATTTTTTTTCGGCTTCAAAAAAATAAATGTCAAGGATATTCAAAATATATATAATCATGATTATCATTATTTTGTTACATTTAGGCACAGTTCATGCACAGTATTGATATCATATTCTGAAATAGATTTAAGTATCACAAAAATATGCATGGGGATAATAAATCAGGTTTTTTTCTTCATAGAAATGAATACATTTCTTTTAGAAGTTTGCATGTATTATGCCATATGTACATAGTGATCTTTGTACAGAGTGACATGCATAATGCTGAATTGTGAGGTTAAGACAACTTTTGACAAATGTAAATTAAGTAATACCATTTCCAAGTTCCAAGCTGCTATATATGATTATGTAGATTAGAAAATAAATGAGATGTTAAATGAACAGTTTAAATTTTGACAACATCAGAACTTGTGTTTCTTGTATTTAGTTCATTAAAGTAATAGCATTGTCAGTTTTGCTACAATACCAGAGGGGTTTTGTTATTATAATATTTCTGTACAGAAAGCCTAAAAAATACAATTAGGGCAAAAAGAGCTTCATTAATCCAGGGCCTATTCATAAAATCGTCATGGTGATTTGACATTTGCTCTGCGAACAATCGCTTCCAGTTGAACCACTGAACTTGACCCTGTAGCTAAGAACAACATAAGGAAAGACAAAGAGAGAAGGGTAAAGAGAATGAATGGCAAAGGGAAATATAGAAGAGAAAATTATATAAGGAAAGCCAGAGAGAGACTGCGATAAAAGAATAGCATAAGTAAAGACAGAAAGAGAAAACGATAGAAGGAAAAACTTAGAATAACATAAGCAAAGATAGAAGAGATCATAGAAAGGTAAAGATAATGAAAAGCAAAAGGAAAGGTAGAATTGAAAAGAAGATGATAGAAGGAAAAGCATATAATAAGAAACAGAAAGGTAGAAAGAAAGCATTTTGATAAGTGCCCCTTTCCCTTTTAATACGCTCCCCTTCCCTTTCTCATTAATGCCCCCTAAGTGCCATATTAAATTTGCAACGTGCTCCTTTTCCATTCTATTAAGTATTCATTTACCTTCTGATAAGTGCCCCTTTTTCTTTTATGATTGTAAGAGCCCTTCCCCTTTTCATTATTGCCATTTCCCCTCTGCCGATCAATACCCCTATTTAACATCTGATAGGTACCCCTTCTATGTTGACACGTGCCCCTCCCTTTCTTATAAATGCCCCTTTTCCTTATGATAAGTGCCCATTTTCCTTTTTTTGTTTGTTTACAAGAGCCCCATCTCTTTTTATAAATATCCCTTTTCACCTTTAATAAATGCCTCTGTTAAAATCTGATTGGTGCCCCTTTTTCTTCGACAAATTCCCCTTTTCCAATCTTATAAGCACCTTTTTTCATTTCTAAAGGGTGCCCATTTTTCAGATGTGAGAAGTGCCCCAGTTTCACCTCTGATAATTTCCGTTTTTATTTTGATATGTGCTCTTTTTCTTTTCTAATAAGTGTCCTTTTCCCTTTAGATAAGCGCCCCCTTTTTCTTTCTCCATAACATATGTGCCCCTAATTTATAGCGACTAAGAGCAAAATTTTCGTTAATTTTCCCAAAACTTGTTTGCCTTCATAGTTGATATAATGTGTTACTTATTAAAGGTCTTTCAGTCTTTTGATGATTAAATTTGACTTAAAATTCCATCAGGATTGTTTCTCCCCCCCCCCCCTCCCTCTTTAAAAGATGAAATTTTTCACACAGCGACCTCACAAGTCTTGCTCGTAAATGAATATTCAGACCATCATCCCCAACTGCAAAGTATGATGCCTTATAAGCAGTATCTTGGACCTTGTAAAGAGAGAAACAAATATTGAAATCACCCCTGATAAAGTAATCACAATAATGTAGGGGTAATGTAATACATCACCAATTTCCAAAATTTGTATATTTTCACTTTGAGGTTTTCCTTTGTATGTGACATTTCCCCCAGAAAATGCCCCTTTTTGTTGATGCTCCCCCTCCCAACTTTAAACGACGCCCCGCCGCCCCTACAGATATGATTAGTTGTGTTATCAATGGGCACATTCCACGGAGTACTTTAACATAAAACGAGGGGTTAGACAATGGGGTTCATTCTTTATTTGCCATTTTTTATTTGCCAGCGCCAACGCTGGCAAATAAAAAAAGATTCCATCAAGGGAGTTCAAATTGGAAAAAATTTAACAAATATTGTTTGCCGGACATATTTCTTTTTCTGTGAAAGCTACAAATTGTATAAGTACGCTACAATATCTTTTTAAAGTCAATAAATAAATCAAACTTTTTGTGGATGGGCAAGGATAATGATGTGCCCTGGTTTGGAAACATAGTTCAGCAAGTTAAAATGCAATGTATTAGGCCTATGTGTTCATTTTTCTTTAAGTGTTGAAACAAATGAAGAGGTGAATTTCAAAGAGATAAATGTACTTAGTATTTTTTTTTTTTTAAATTAGGATAGGGGGCGGATCACTTATGGGTAAAATGCACTTGTTAAAATCATCATGTAATAGGCATAGAATGCATTGTCAAAGTTCAACTATGTCTCATCACTTATAATTATTAGTCCCTCAATCATTGGCAGCTTCATATAGCTTTTTTCCTGCTATTTTTTGTTCAGAAGGAAAAAAAAGGGGGCGTGCTTCCCCAAGCCCCCCCCCCCTGGATCCCCCCTGATTTTATTTAGAAATGCTGAAGGCTTGGCAGGATATAGGAAAATTTCGAATCTCTGAAAGTGTTGTGAATCCAGTGATATTTAATAATAATAATATGTGTATAAAGGTTCAAATTGTTTTTGATGGAGATTTATTTGCTACAGGGATGTAATTTTTGATAATTATGGTTATGCATGTGAAGCCTAAGGCTTACTTTCAAATTCTTGGGATTAATGCGAATCGTGTTTATTATTACTTCAGATAATTGATATTACTAATGCTATACCAAATAATTAGACAAATGCTTCTCCCTTTTTCAAATTGCAGCAAGTTGATTTTCAAAATTTTAATATAAACTTAAATCTTTCTGTGCAGAAAACAATATTTCATACCTTATAAAATCAAGACTGTTTTGTCAAATATTTAAGCGAACTTTTTGTCAAGAGCAAGGAGCACCAGTGGCGGAACCAGCCAGTGGCAAGAGGGGGGGGGGGGGGATTTGTGATAATATTTAGCAGCGATTCATCCAGCCTGTCAATAAGCCGGGGGGAGAAGAAACACTTTTTTTTCAAGCGAATCTTTTTTTTTTTCTTTTTTTTTTGCCAGAGGGGAGCCGGACCCGTCGCCCCCCCCCCCCCCCCCCCCTCGTGGATCAGCGCCTGAGGAGCACAACACTTATCAGGAAACACTTTCATATTATACATAACAACAGAGATTTTCACATTTTCTTTAGGATAATTGGTGAGGAAAGAAAATGCAAGAAAGGAAAGAAGACTAGATAAAAGATGGGATCCAATCGCTTCGCAAAACGAACAATTAAAAAAAAATCTTATATCACCAGCCCCGGCCGTTTAACTGGCCGGTCCTAAAATTTCATGTGAGTCCCGTTTTATATAATTTCTAATAAGTCCTATGGGAATTATAATCAATTTTGAAATACCTCGCATATTTCACTGTTAACGTATGGCGCCTCCAAGGCAAACAAAAACACATGCAGATTCCCAGGGGGTTATGGGGGCCGGAGGGGGGGGGGGGGGGTGGTCTTTCAACAATTTCATCCTTCATTAATCTTTCTCATAGTCTTAATTTTAATGTAAGTTGCCTTTTACATTAGGTTAACTTTAAGGAAGTATGCCTACAAGCAGGCGCGTACGCAGGATTTTTTCAAGGGGGGGGTTTTAACATTTATAAATCGGTCCGAAAATTTCGCAACGACTCAGCCAGCCGCTGAATAAGCGGGGGGGGGGGGGGGGGGGGGGGGGGGGGTAAGAGGACACATTTTTTTTTTTTTGGTCCCAAAAAAAATCGCAACGACTCAGCCGACCGCTGAATAAGCGGGGGGGGGGTAAGAGGACACTTTTTTTTTTTTTTTTGGTCTCGAAATTTGGAAATTTGACATTTTGCTCCGTTGGGGGGGGGTAAGGTCACCTTTTTTAGGTCGGCCATGGGAATAATTTTTTTTTTTTTTTTTTTTTTTAATAATTAAAAAAAAAAAAAAAAAAAAAAAAAAAAAATCCAAAAGGGGGGGGGGGGGGGTTTTAGGTTTTTTTTAGGGGGGTTTACACACAAAAAATTTCCAAAGGGGGGGGTTTAACCCCCCAAACCCCCCCCCCCCCCTGCGTACGCGCCTGCCTACAAGGGGGGGGGGGGATTATAAACACTTTTGAAATCCTAATTTGCACGTAATTAAATGGCAGTCAACTTTTTTTTTGGGGGGGGGGCATCCCGGGAGGCATCCCCTGTGATTTATGCGGAGTCTTTTAAACTTTCGGAGCATTTATTGATCTTTTCCACAACCTCAAATAGTATGTAAGTCGCTTTTTTAATTATTTCAAGGAACTATTCATCAGAATTTGATAAGATGTATTAAATATCCTGGAAAAGGAGATGCATGCTGTAAAATAACTTTTCAAACCTGTTATCTTCACACCGCTTGCCGAGTGTACTACGGAAGTAAGCTAGAGTAAATTGTCTTGATAAGGTCTATCTCTGTATAGTACGGCGAGGCAAGTGCTATGCCGCTCCGGCCCGGTCCGGGCCGCGCCGGTCGGGCCGGGTGGTACGGTACAGCCGATATGCTCATTCTCATTCATCTAGCACATAATTCTCGAACTTTTGCTGCTCCAGCTCCCTGGATTATCGCTCTGATCTAGGCCTCGAGCTCCGAACTAAACTGAGATTTACGTCAAGCCAAGGCGACAGTTTATTGTCTAGCCAAAAAACGGTCGTATTCGAGATGAGTGGCCTCAGCATAGTATTTAAAAAAGTTGAAGGAGTAGGCCTACCACAGTTGTTAAAGTTAATACTGCGGCCTCACGTTGTTCGGGCCCCCACGATCATGGCGAGGAGAGTGATAACGTTACGAAGCTGCTTCTCCAGCTCTGCCTCTGCCCCTGGCATTGGAATTCGTCGTGATTATGTAAGTTAGAATACAGATGGTCATGATTTGATCTAGTCTACAGGTTACTACAGACAGTTACGGTACTGATATTATATCTAAACCGATTTATAGCTTCATTCTCTTAATTCTTATAATTATAATCAAAAAGACAACCCGGTACCTGCCCCCCCCCCTCCACTCAGTGCTTAATATTTAGGGTGGACCTACACGTATATGCATGTCCCCCCTTTTGAAAACACCCCCATAAGGCCCTAAGTCCGGTGTAATGTCAATGCGGGCTGGATTTTTGTTTACTACGAGCCGGACTTACCCCTCTACGATCTACCGGACTTTTTGGGAACACGCATGCGCTCCCTTCGACCCTGGAGTGGGGGGAAGACAACACTACAGTTCTGCTGCTGCTGAATCTAAGTCTTATTAGGCCTAGATCTAGACCGAAGTTTTTAGTTCGTTAGCCTCTGATTTGCCTAAATCAGAGGCTAACAAACGAAAGAGACAGAAACTTCGGTCTAGTCTAGGCCTAGACAGAAATAACCATCTGGTATGGTCATTTCTTTAATTAACTGACATTTTTTGACATTCAGGAGCCAGATGCAATGTCAGCAGCTAGCAGAGCAACCGTTGATATCAGACACTGAAGTTTTCGGTCTATTCTAGGCCTAGACAGAAGTAACTGTCTGATCATATGGGCAATTAAATTATCAAACTGATATGTACTATGAGAAATCATTGAATAAAGGCGGTCATGGAGCCAGGTCAATTGTGGCCAGCCGACCAGTCTCAGCGGAACAACCATTGAGATATCAGAGACTGAAGCTTTACTTTAGTTATGGCCTTGGTGTATGCTGACTGCTGAGACTAGGTATCATTTCAAAGAGGAATAAACACTTTCTAATGGTAATCAATCAATGCAATGATTATGCCATGATAAAAAATAAGAGAGCTGTATCAATCCAACTTTTTTTTTGGAGGGGTTATTTACTTCTTGTCTTATTTCCTTAGACCTTGTTTATTTTCCCCCATTTGCTGTGACAATACCTTAATGTTAAGTATTTGGCGACAACAAGTCTTGAAAAAAAAGACTAGCCTGTAATATCTGAGCTGAGACATATATGAATTAAAATGCCCCCCCCCCCCCCCCCAAGAGACCAAATGCATCAAAACATTTGTGTAGCTTTCCTTTCTATCTTCTTTCATCTTTATCATTTGTAAACAACTCCATGAGGAATATATTGTAATGAAATTGAAAATATTGTACATGTACATGTATGTTGATGTGATTTTCTTGATTTTTTTTCCATACACAGTTGACATCTTCTGACAATTTGCAGGAAAACCTTCAGTATAGCAAACTAGTTTATCCTGGAACTAGGAGTAGAAGGAAGATATCAACCAGCTTCAATCCACTCAAGGTAGAACTCAAGGAAGAGCAGAATGGAGAAAGGCTCATATACAACGGACCCCTCACCAAAATGGTCTGCCTTGTCAAATTTTTCTCCTTGTCAACGAGCATCGTCAGTACTGGATTGATTACTACACTTGTCCTTTCTAATGAGGTTGGTGCGATGACCTATATAGCAGGTGGTATTTCGTCATTAATGATCTTCACACCCATCATCCTGCATTGGTTCACCAAAGGATACGTAGCTAAGATGTACCACAACCACACATCCCAGACTTACACTGCGTGCACATTCAATTTCTTTCTGAGAGACGTGAAGACGGAGTTCCAACAGAGTGATGTAAGCCTACCCGCAGTCACGAACGCGATCTCATCCTTCTCCATCCGTGACAAAGCAGTGTTGGTTGATCCTCGTGGTTTCATCAACCCAAACCATTACTCTCATTTGATGGGATATACAGACACTGATGGCAATGTCAACTTTGAAAAGCAATCAAACTCGGAAGAATTAAGATGAAAACTATCACTGCATATAGACTTGCATGACAAGAGATGTAATTTTTATTTCGCATGAATATTGGGAATGCGATACTGTAGGAAGTGCTTTTCCCAATAGCACTATCATCAACCTTGAAGGGTATGCCTGACCCATTTGCAAGTTGAATCAAATGAATAGAGAAAAATTAAACAAACAAAACGATGAAAGTTTCATACTTTCATCAAAATCAAACAAAAGATAAGAATGTTATGACAATTTTTTGTTTTGTTTGTTTAATTTTTCTGTATTTGTTCAAATGGGCTGGACCTGCCCTTTAATAAATAAATTCAATTACATATATAACTTGATCACAAGGGTTATTGATCATCAAAGATCCTGTGAGTGGAGTGAAGAGTGCCCTGACCACAAGTCAGCTTCAATAAATGTAGAAAAGCAGGAATAATAATAATAATATCAGGAAAAAATCATATCATATCGATGTAGAGATGTTGTGGTCTATAAGGATACGTCATCGGAATGTAGATCATGTGGTTCGCAGTTCGAGTCCCACTATGGTACTAATGTCCTTTGGCAAGAAACTTATCTAAATTTGCCACTCTCAACCCAGGTGTTGAATGGGTAACCGGTAGAATCCGAAAGTTAATGTGGTTAGATCTGCATTTACGTGCTTGTTAAATGGTGCCTGGCTGAATAATCCCCAGGGAGTGGAGGGTGTGCTCTATCATGTGCGGATTAGCGATTGGATCCAATGACTTAGGCAATTACTAATTGTAAAGCACTTAGAAACGTAGTACAGTATGTGTATGAAAGAAAACATCCCAAGAAATATCTCAAGTTGTTCTAAGAGATTTATTATATTCTTGCCCATTAATCTGCAAGATTCCCCACCAAAGTGTATAACAGAGGTACATGTATTAAGCAAAATACTCTAAGCATACTGTACAGTTAGTTTATCAGCACGACATGGTCAACCCATTTTCTTGATAACATGATGTACTTTGCCAAGTCAAGTAAATGTAATCAACTTTATGAGTGCTCTCTTCCCACGTGTGTGTGGGTGATGAAATATTTCGTTCACATGCTATTATATTTTGTTAGGTACAACAATTGTCTAAACGCGAATTGAATGAATAAATGTACGTGTTGCCCTTCCGGGTGAACGTTTTTGCATAAATGCAATAGGTTTGTCAACTGCTTTATTTCAGCATTTTCAACTATGATTTTGCCTCATTTAAAAGTAAAGGTTTGGTTATTGAAGTACTTCCCCCCCCCCCAGTCTAATCTTACATGGCTTAATTATGATGGGGGTTGTCTGTCCTGAAACTTCTGATTGTTTGAGAAAGTCGGGTTATTCTCCATTTGTTGACATGATCCCAACCATAGCTGCACTGCGTAAGCCAGGGTAATTACCAATATACTGCATTATTTATACAGACTTCTGATAAAGTAAGTGTTAGGCGCTATTATTTTTCCAAATCTCAGAATATCTTTCTGACAACAAGTTCATGTATATTTTAAAAGGTTAGAACTAAATCCAAGATGGGATTGTTTTAGAATAACTTACTATATTTGTTTTGCATCAGAACGTTGTTTGGGTCCCAGAAAACAACACATTGGACTGTAGTGTAGATGATACCAAAAAATAGGCATCAAAGGACATTTATATTTTGGCTTTTACTAAACTGTCGGGTTGCGCCGCTGCCTGAAATTAGCAAACTTTTTTGTTTTGTGTTAGGTGTGTTTCCAAATGGTTTGGATCGAGGGAAAAAAGATGAAAGTGCCTCCATCAATTTCTGTTTTCCTTGATTTCAGGCTTTCAGATACTATTTGATACATGTACAGTATATGGAGTCAAAGAGAATAATAACTTGATTTCTAAAATTGTGTTGGAGATGTTTAAACTAAGGTATTTTCAATTTTTTTCAACTTTTAGACTTCATTCTTTCATTACTATGCTTTAAATATTTGATGGAGCATAGGAAAGCTGGAAACCAGGAAAATTATCTTGAGAGGGACACTTGTTTCCACTTGAAGACACCATACACAAATATTGGCAAATTTTGCCAGCGCTCCACAACCCAACTGTTTTACATTAGCCCATTTATTTGTGCTAGTTTATGAAAAATATTTGTATGAGTGTGGCAAATTAACCCTGTTCATTCACGTACCAACTGAAAATAAAACAAACTCTGTTCAAGGTAATGTATAAAATTTATTGGTTTTACATCAATCTTTCATTCATCAAGAGAAGACATAAAATATACTGGAAGTATACAAAACAAATATATTTATATATGAAATAGCTCTGTTAGTTGAATATATTCTGGCTAATAAAGAACCTTTAGAATTACAATAATATCTTTTCAAGGCTTAAAGCTTTCCCACATGCGTTAAAAATCACAACATAATACTTTAAACAACCAAAAATTACAAGGATTACATGCCCACTTTATGAATGAAACAAACAGAAAAACAGATTAATAGGGAAGTCCTGTCCCAGAATGACTTGCTTCAAAAGAAGCAAACAAATCGAAGAGATGAAATATAAAAGGATGTGGAAATTCAAAGAACTAATAAAAGCTATCAATGCTCTAATGAATTGAAAAACAATGGAAAACTGAATAAATACTACACAAATGAGTGACTTTGTCTAGAGTTTCTGGTGTCATTCCCTTACAATACTACTTGTGTATATGTCTTGTGAAAGTCAATAAATAAATAAATAACCCCGGTAATACATTTTCCATGTTTTCTACAAATGCAAGAGTGGGCCAACAACAAAAAGGTGTGTAACCACCACAGTGGCACAATCTTATTTGTGTAGCATGCTCACATGGCTGAGCTGTCCACTGACCCAGAATCCATTGTTTTCTTGTGTACAATAACAATAGAAATACCCTGTTTCATATTGATACAGTTGTAGTTAACATAACATATTGCCATCAATCAATCTTAAACTTGGATAGAGAAATGAGTTTGTCAGTTTCTTGAAAAAGAAGTGGATATTTGTATGACACAACAATATGCATGAACAAAACAAAGTGTAATTTCATATTATACAAGCCTATGACATGACTTCATGATGGGTTACGAGTAGTCTGCAAGCACAGACCCTAATTTGACACTTTATCAACAAATCATTGTGCCTTGAGAGAAGCCTAGCCCAGCTACCTACTGGTTGTGTCAATATAGGGAGCAGCTACAGTACATGGCCTATGGTAGTCTTATAGTGCAGACTCACTTTTACGACTGACCAGGGTTTGTGCTTGCAGACTCACTTTTACGACTGACCAGGGTTTGTGCTTGCAGACTAGGTTACGAGCTTGCAGCTTGTCTTGATACTGGGTATGGATTTGGAAGGAAAATTCCAATTCCCAGCACATGCTGAGACATTGAGTCACCATATTAAACTTATGCCCTAGCTTAAAAGTTAGTTTTGAGGAGTGTTAACAATTGCTTATGACTTGCTATGTCTGGTCTGGTCTATAGTATGGAGCAGAAACAGACACATTAACAAAGAATATGGAAAGGAAAATCCCTTTACTTGAAAATTGAGGGTACAGGAGAATGATGAGAATAATCATGGAAAGATATGAAAACTAACGGGAAATACTGCACATGGCAGGGCTTAAAGGCCAAGTCCACTCCAAAAATAACTTACTTTCAATAGAAGCAGAAAAATCAGACAAACCAATCAAAAAAAAATTGAGCAAAATCAGATAACTAATGAGAAAGTTATGAATTTTTGAAAAAGTATGTAAAACTATAGAACAATTGAAATCCCTACACAAATTGCCAATTTGGTTATTAGTTTGTGATGACATGTCCTCACTATTTATGAATTGCTTTATATACTTTATTCCCATTAATTTCTCTTTTTATCCCCCAAAATTTGATTTCCCCATGCCTTTGCCCAGGTTATATGATTTGTATCATATTGCATGCATGACATTGAAAGTGAGTTATTTTTGGAGTGGACTTGCCCTGATAGGAATAGTTCAAGAAAGAAAGGCATAATACTACGGCCTTATAAAAAGACATACTGTATCTTGTAATATCTAGAAAAGTTGAAGGTACCAGACCAAGAGCAAAACATTAAGACAGGGAGTGGAAGGACACTGCCAGAGTGTACTAGAATGGCAGATAACAGGATGTGTGGAAAAATGCACCCCTTATAAAAAAGAACCATGGTAACCATGGTATTTTTGTCCAAATTACCATCCACCATGGTAACCGTGGTATCAAACAATGATTGCAATCAACCTCCAAGCTGGGAGAAGATACCTTTATTGATGTTAAATAGAACAACAACTACATGTGAGGGATATTGTAACTACATTTACCCTTTTCCTAGACAAAAACATGCTTTATATAATAGTCTTACAAATGTTCTTTATAGAGATTAGTCACCTGGCTTAGTATTATCTTATCAATTTTTGAATTCTCCTGCTATAATTTTGTAACAACTATTTTCCTGACATAGAGTTCTTGTTCATCACTGCTATCATCATTTATAAGGCTTTCCATGTCATCCTTGACATCATGTGAAGGGTTTTCTGAAGAACCTGCAATTAAAGTATATAGAGAATGAAACTGATGGGTGCATCAAATAGTATCATCAAAGGTTAGACATTTAAAAAAAAAAAAACGTAATATAGATTGCCTTCCTAAATTTATCAAATACATTTCTTCAGAGTTTTATTGAAAGGCATTTAGAAGTAATCAAAATTCATCAGAACCTACATAACTCTGGATCATTTGCTTTGCTCCATTGAATTTTTCCTTAGGGTAAATCGCATTACAAAGAAGTTTTGAGGGTGAAAATGAAGAAGTCAAAAGCTACCACCTGGTCACTTTGCTTCTTCTTTTAACTTGGCCACTAATTCTGAGATAAAGTGAATCAAAGCTAACAATTTTTTCATCTTTACCAGAATGTTCATTAATTCATTTAATTATCTTTCCTTTCAAGAGGTGGAATACCTCAACAGCCAAAGGTGATTTACATAGGGGTCCACTATCAATATTATTTTATAGGGCTTTTACTTCCAAATTTAAAATATTCCACATAGACAGACACTCATCCCGTTGAAATTCAAAGCTGATATCTCAACATTTAGAGATTAATCTTCTTTTATTTTCTAAGATATTCAATGTAACAAGTAAATATCATTAACTACAATACTACATGTATGAGGGTATATAATTTTAAACGTTTGACAGAAAACTTTTGTTTTCTGAGGCAATTATTCTATTTAAAGAGTATAAATTATGTTTTGTTTCCAATTCTTTTGATTCAATGTGTAAAGATGATAACTTACGTTTAGTTTCTAGTGCTTTAAGTCCAACATGTAAGGATATTCCACAAAGACAGACGACCATCCCAATGAAATTCAGAGCTGACATTTCATCTCCTTTTTGTGATGCAATGTATAACGTACAGATTTCCTGAATAAACACAGAGAGAGAGAGAAACAAGAATATGGAGGAAGATAAGTACATCTCTCTTATGATCATCTATGCAAAGATAGATCCATTCAGTTACATTAACCAGGATTTATTACAAGAACAAGTAATATCTACACTGTATGGGTATGAACTTTTGCAAAAAGTTTCAAAAGTTGCAGATTTGGTTGAGAATAATGATTTTGAACCTCTCAACACGTTTTCAATTTAAGGGCACTTTTTGGAAGTAGAAATGGCACTCAGTAAGAAAACCAGTGCACTTACAAGACAGGGAAAGGGGTACTTACGGTATCTGTGGTGAAAACCAAAGAGGGGTCGTTTTATTTTAAGTGTCATCTAGTGTTTCTAAAGAGATTAGCTGCCATGATCAATGCGCTTATGCATTCAAGATACTATATCTTACCAGGTACATATAATACCTGGGGAAAATAAAAACGCAGAACCCTAAAACAAAGGGTCAATATGACCAGACTATAAGCTGTATAAATGTTATCACATACTACTTCTAATACTACATGTACTGATAATAATGATAATAATAATAATGATAATTATAATACTAGTAATAATAATAATAATAATAATTATCTTCTTTCAATGGTTACCTCGCCAACTACTCTATCAGGTAAAACACATAGTCCACTCACATTAGTTTAACTACTATAACACCAGTACCTTCTACTACGTACCTTGAATATCCCTGATATTGAGAGAGTTAGTGTTGATGTGCGTGATAGAAGTAAGTACTCTGACATGGCTAACATAAAAGCCAAACAAGCACCAAATAGAAGCTTCGTACATGTCAATGTAAATGTATGGATATCAGTAAAACCCAAGAAGTCCTCTGTTGAACAAATCCTTACTCCTGAAATATCAGAGGGGAAGGTAGATAATTGAGAATTTGATTTAAAAAAATTACTTGTTACATCATGTGTAGACATGTGGATAATAGACTATTTTCATAATGTAATCAAATTTAATACAAATTATTAATTTCTTGTTACTATTTAGTACAAATTATTTCATTCACCTGTTAGGAATAATTATACACTGTAGAGTGGTAGTAAAATATGCATGCTCATGAGGGGGGGGGGGGGGGGGGGGGGGGGGGGGGGGGCGGTGCACAGCTAACTTGATACATGTAGTAGCTGTGAGTTACATTTTTAACATGTAGAAAAACATTTGCCTTACACTTGATTCCATATACGAGATTACTCAAGAGTAAAATAAAATTATGAGAACTCTCAAGAGACTTTCCCAAAGCAAGAAGGTTCTTCTTAATGTTGTCTTAATAAAATACATTGCCTCCTTTTCAACCTCAGGCTAATAAGTAATAGCTTGCATCTTCTTCTTTTTTCTAAACACAGCATTAACAGTTTGGAAAGACTTTTAATGTTCTGAAGGGTGCTCTAAAAGGAAAAACAACAAAGAACAAAACAAATCACTACTTTGAGCAAACATTGTCTTTCATTTTTTTTTTTTTAATACCTGTTTTTATTTACCTTCTACTGCGATGGCAAGTGGAAGTAAACCAAGTATCATGACAGGCTGCAGGTGGTAGATTATATCAATTGGATTGCGTAAACCTGAAAAATAAATTCATTCAATATCATTTGTAAACTTGGTAGTATGAAGATGTATGAGACTGATAATAAGCCTCACAAAGTATGCATGTATGCTTCAAACAATTTACAAAAGAAACGAAACATACAAAGATTACAGAATGAGGACAAGATAAAATTGAGGATCAGAGAGATGTGCAAGGACTCATCGATACTGATTCCCTTCAACTAAATCTTTCATCACTTAAATACAAACAAATTTGATTAAAAAGTGCATTAAACGACATAAGTCCTATGGCTAATGGCAGAGATTTAACCACTCGTATTGCTTATAATAACTGTTTATTTTCCATTTTCATTTTTGGGGGGGATACACAAAGAAAAGCAAAAAACAGGGGAAACGAATTAAACAAATACAGAAAATAATAATAAAAATAATAATAATAATAATAATAATAATAAAATAGTTCAATCATACAGTATATTCAGATGGGTCTCAAATGATTCTGAAATATGGTAGAGGTAGATTTCAAAAGGATCATAATTTGTGATGCATGAAAACTGCAGAAAAGAAGAAGAAGAAGAAGTAGAGGAAGAAGAAGAGGAAGAAGAAGAGAAGAAGAAGAAGAAGAAGAAGAAGAAGGAGGAGGAGGAGGAGGAGGAGGAGGAGGAGGAGGAGGAGGAGGAGACAGAGAAGAAGAAGAAGAAGAAGAGGAGAAGGGGGAAGACAAAGAAGAGGAGGAGGAAGAAGAAGGGGAGGATGAGGAGGAAGGGGACAAAGAGAAGAAAAGGAGCAGCAGCAGATGAGGAATGCAAACAATGTAAAAAAAAAAAGTAATCAGGGTGAAAAAGATGAGAGCTACTGACCTGTTTCTTCTTTTTGAGTTAATATTTGAGCTAAAGACCATCTGAGACCACTGAGAAATGATGCTGCAAGGACTAAGACGAATCCTTCAAGGTTGAATTGAGTTGATTCATATGTAAACATGAAGAGACCTACAGCTATAAGCACCACAATGATAACCTGCATCCAGTGCTGAAATAAATCACCAAAATAAAAGAATAAAGAAAACTATTGAAAAACTATTGTGTAGGTGAACCACCTTATAAACTAGAAATATCACAATCTGTATTGCTGCGCAGTGCGAATGTATCCCCCGGCAGTGGCAGGGATTTTTGTGTCATTCTCATGTTCGAAGGAGGGACAAAGATCCCCTCTCCCCTCCCTGAAACAAAGGATGATGTAGAGATCCCCACTAGTGGCTATTTATTGTCAAGACTAGGAGCAATGTCCCCAATGTGTGTAGATTAGAATATACTGCATCTCTGTAGAAAATTTGAAAGAAATCTGTCGAGAAATGTGGCAGTTAAAGCGCTCAAAATACAGCCACCAAAACATGACCTTTGACCCTAAAATAGATGTCGACATTTTTGTTATCCTTTTGTTTACATTGTAACCTTTTCTACAGCACATCTGCAGCAACAGTAAGGTTATTTTCTTGTGGAAATATTCAGATCTTTACAATAATGTATTGTCTAGGGTTTATGATTGTAACAAATAACAACTAGATGGAATTTTGACTGCGCGCAGTCGAAAATGATGCCTCCGCGATAGAGCAATTTAAACAAGTTTGGAGTTTAAATCTCCAGTGGTTCTTGAGATATCGCGATAACGATCTCAATGTATGGAATTTCATAAGTTGACCTCTGTGACCCTTGACCTTTGACCTACGTGCTCCAAAATCTAATCAGATTGTCTTCCTATGGTGATACACACTATCATTAAGTTTGAAGTTTAAATCTCCAGTGGTTCTTGAGATATTATGATAACAATCTCAATGTATGGAATTTCATAAGTTGACCTCTGTGACCCTTGACCTTTGACCTACGTGCTCCAAAATCTGATCAGATCGTCTTCCTATGGTGATACATACTATCCTTAAGTTTGAAGTTTTTACATCTCCAGTGGTTCTTGATATCATGAAAACAATCTCAATGTATGGAATTTCATAAGTTGACCTCTATGACCCTTGACCTTTGACCTACGTGCTCCAAAATGTAATCAGATTGTTTTCCTATAGTGATACACACTATCACTAAGTTTGAAGTTTAAATCTCCAGTGGTTCTTGAGATATCATGATAACAATCTCAATGTATGGAATTTCATAAGTTGACCTCTGTGACCCTTGACCTTTGACATACGTGCTCCAAAATCTAATCAGATCGTCTTCCTATGGTGATAAATACTATTCCCGAGTCTTAAGTTTAAATCTTAAATGGTTCTTGAGATATTGTGATAACGGTCAAACGGGACGGACGTACGGACGTACGGACGGACAACCCGAAAACATGATGCCTCCGGCACCACCTTCGGTGGCGGAGGCATAAAAATAATCACCAAAACTTTAGGCCAATAATTGAACATGTTTTGGTGTATTTGTATATAAATGTTACATCATATGTTATCTAATAGTCACACTTACTTTTCAATAAGACAGTAAAGGAGAGTATGGCTTTAATTTGTTACTAAAATTGTAGTCCTATGTCAGGTTTTTACCATAATATTAACATAATCCTGAATTTGATATTTCCATTGATTTTGTACAGGCAGCGCTGTTTTTGAACTGAAAAAAGGAAAACAAATAACCAAAAAGTGAAACAGCCCCACCCTTTCTGGGGGCAAGCTGGTGACAAATGACCATTATCGGACATGTTTTTGTTACACCCCGCCATAAGAGAGATCTGCCCCTTCCTAACTCTAAAGGAGAGAGATTTTATTTTATGATTCTTAGAAGAAGAAAAAAACAAAAAAAAGTGAACTGCTCTTTTCAACGAAATTCACAGAGTTGCCAATTCATGTTTGATATGTTACAAGTTTAAAATTCATTACATCTTCATACTATTAAATTCCCTTAAAATACTGATCTGTTCTTCTTTTTTCCTGCCTTTCTGTTCCTTTTTTTCTCATTTTCTTGTACTAAAGCAAACTTGCTACCAAAGAGGACATGAAAGAGCCTAATGGTACAATTTAGTACGTGAATATAAAGTACAGCGATGTTTTACAAATATGACTCACTGGTTTTTGAAGACCGAATGCTATTGCAAAGACAAGGATGAAAATGATTGCAGATGACTTGCACATTGTATAGAGAGAGATGGTAATGAAGACCAGACTCCAGTTGGAAAAACCAATGTCCAATGCACTTGTTATACCTGAATGGTTATATAAGACATATATACAGGTATATATAACATCATGGTGATAAATGAAACATCACAAGTATAACCACAATCAGAAAATTTTCATTAAAGCATAACAATTTAATTTATAGTGTCTGTAATGCTAACATTCACAAACAAAGTGGCTATTAATTTCCCATTTTCAAAATTGAATTTCTAAATTCTAGTCCATGTTGCCTTGGTAATAATGAAATACTCATTGTTATGCACTCATCTTAAAATGCTATAATTTCTATTTAAAAAAAATAATGATGAATCGTTTTGCATTTTTGTATTTTAGAGTTACTAATAGCCAAACCCAGGCTGACCTGATTTGCAGAAAGAGGTCCTTTGATGCCTCAGTCACACCTTTGTGTATTTTGCTTGCGTATTGCTGCATATTTATGGCAAGCCGTCTTAACATTTATTCATATTTCTAGATATCAAGAATTGAATTCTTGATCTCAAGAAATGAATTCTTGATATTAAGAAATCGTCTTCTTGATATCAAGAACTGCCATTGCTTTACAACAAAAAATAATTTCTTGATATCAAGAAATATGAATAAATGTAACTTGCCATAAATACGCAGCAATACGCAAGCCAAATACGCAAAAGTGTGACTTATGCATAAAACAACACATCTACCACATGCGAACCATCCACAGTTAAAGTAGCATCCTTACCCTACTCTAGGTCCTTCATATGGAAGTCATATGTATAAAAGAAGTTGTATCGTTTGCTATTTTGCTTCTGCTTAACAATATCCCACTCTCTGGATATGTTTGTAAAGCACGTATAGTACATATACGTACATGCCAACATTTGAAAATCAGAAATCTGTACAAATTATGCTATTTTCAAAAAAAAGAGGAACAATCCTAACTCTCCTATTCAATACTACAGACAAATTTGTACAGGAAGAGGAACACCTGCATTAAAATGATAATTATCTTCTCCCAAAAAGAGGAATGTTCCTCTTTAATCTGAACAGTTGGCATGTATGTAGTACTGTGTGCAGCCTGCAACAGGAATGCCTCATCTTCTTCTTGAGCCAGAAATGTAGCTCATTGGCTATTGAATGTGGTATCATCTTGTAGGAAATTCAATTTTCTTTCATATGACACTTCACATATGGTAAAATGAGGTTCTGCTTAAAAGAAATCTTCAAAAATGTCTAACATTAGTTTGAATTGGCGGGCATTTTGATTTTATATGGGGCGCCATTTTTTTTTGGCAGCATATTTTCAAGGTAGTCCACCTAGAAATGTATAGGGAGGTGAACACGTTGATACCGGACAACCTTTTAAGACATCCCATGTCTCAAAAACCTGTTTTGCCCTTTGTGGTGAGACCCTCCCAATTACATTCAGGTTGCCTTTGCGTCAGACGAGTGCAGCTAAGAAAATTCAAACAATGAGTATGCGTTACATTTACCATGCTAAAAAAGATTGTTCATGGTATGTTGCACGCTTGATCGTGCACATGTTACAAAATGTTGAGTGTCACATGACTGCTTTCCAGCCAATAGGATACTTTCCAACAAATATGCTATTTTACATGAAAAACAATCAAGTATTACAAGAATAGCCCTACGGCCAATAGGATAGTCTCTATAAGTGCCCTCCAAAACAATGTTATATCTGGAAGATAAAAGATAATAGCAAATAAGTGAAGAGTAACGATAGCTTACCTGTTGGTGTGACTATCTTAGCATAGGTTAGCCAGCTAAGAGAGACTGGTTTAATTGAGGTACAAGCTTGAATCAGACTTCTCAGAATAAGGGCTATTACAAACTTTACTGCAAGGTGAATGATGGTGATCGTAAGAGGAAATTTGAAGTCCTAAAGAGAAAAGTGAAAGATAAAAGGTATTATATTTCTGTTATGGATATGGAAAGACTCCCAGAGCTCTTCTATGAAAGGGTTGTGGTTATTAACCAGGTGGTCTTCGGGAACCCTTCATGGGCTCCGTACCTTAACCTGTGTGACTCTTTCACCTGGGGTCACATGGGGTCACATGGAGTCACATGGAGGCAATTGTATGTCATTCCAACACAAAACACCAATGACATCCCTCGCTTGCACATCGTCAGAGTGTTTGATACTTTACGCCAGCAGAGTGACATATCAGCTGTGTGATGACAGGCATGGTGACTCTGGCACAAATAGAATCATATCTCAATGAAAGGTTGCATAAATGTTGATAGATGTGTAAAGAAACAATATAAAATACCATTTATCTTTAGGGCAATTCAATGCATGTCATTCAGACATTTATCAAAGAAAGCCTTTTTTTGCATGCTGACAATATGCTGGAATACCCATATTGTACAATGTAAAGCAGATGGGTAAGTAACTTACATGGAATAGCCATTTATTGTACAATGTAAAGCAGATGGGTAAGTAACTTACGTGGAATAGCCATTTATTGTAGAACGTAAGGCTGATGGAAAATGTATAGTAGAATAGTACAAGTGCAATGACTTTTATCCCCATTAGAAAGACCTCCATCCATCTGGATTTCACAAGCTTTGGTGGGGATATCTGAAAGTAGTAATGCATTATATAGTCTCAGGTTAAAGGTAAAGGCCAGTTATGGTCATGCGATTGCATTGTGAAAGAAACGTTGTGGAATCGATCAGAAAAGGTTGGTCATCTAGCACATAAGTATTGGTGTGTACTGCAAGGTTCTGGAAACATCAAAATGATAAGAAATTTGGCCCAGTCTGCGTAAAGTTACAAGCACTGTACACAGAAAGATGTATATGGGACTACGCACACGTGCGCGACACGTGCGTTTATCTCTCACACACCAATAGATAAACTTATTTACCAAATATATCAATTAGTAGGTGGTTTCCCGGCAAATTTTTTTATCATCATATGTATTAGTCAAAACATACTCTTTCACATGATGATTGGTAATAAGAGCTTCCATTTCATTTTTTTGAAATCGGGGTGTTTCCAATACTGGTCTTGGTACCTTTAACAGTGTGAAAATTATTTTTTAGAAGTGATTATATCACCCAATCAAAATGATAAGAAGCCATATACGATACATGCATATTTGCTCACTACACAATACACATACATCTGAAAGTAGTAATGCATAACATAGTCTTAGGTTAACAATGTGAAATCCATTTTTTTAAGAAGTGATTATATTGCCCAATCAAAGTGATTAGAAACCGGAGAATAGCATTGAAGAGAGCCATAACTTAAGCTTTTTGACTTGCACTCATCAGAGTAAAACGCAAGAATGAAACAGAAAGCCAAAATCGAACAATATAAACGGAAACTGAAAGGAAACAAGGCGCGAATATAACTTAGGCTTATGCCAGCCATTTATACCGGGAAATCGCTAGAATAACACGAGAGTCCGAACAAACTCTTTCTGTCTGCATTAGAAGTGGGTCCGTCAGCTGAATGTATGTTGCTTCGAGCATGCGCAGATGAGTAAAGTTTCTCACTTGATTAGAAACCGCATATGTTCGCTCACTACACAACAAATGGGCATTTCATGGGTGCAGACATTCTTGAACAATTTTACCCATTAATATGGAGATCCCAAGCGTTATTATAGTGATGTGGTGAGGGCGCAAACAGTTATTGATACCTTTTTAAAGAAACTTGTTTCCATTTCATTCTAAAACAATTTAGAACTCTATTGTATTGTATGTATGTATTTTATTTGATGTATCTCCCTATGTTTTGCATTTTTGGAGAAATAAATTAAACTTGAACTTGAACTTTAAAACCTGGACTAAGCATCAATATGGTGGCTGATACCACCAACAGTTTTTCCCCTTTTAAGTACTAACAATTTCAAGTCTAAACATAGTTTTCATCTTGCAATTGTTCCCAATATCTAGCCTAAAAATATGTCTTTGTCTTGTTTCCTTTTTTTCTTCATAACAAAATAGAAGAAAAATAGCCTAGTTTTCTATTAAATACCGTTACAATGTACCGGTAGATAAAATAGCAAAAAAAATGATACTCTTTGCATGTAAAAATCAACCATGGAATACATTTTACAACGAAACATTCTAACATTTGTGTTTTCTTTGACAATCTATTCACACAACACCATTAAAGACATGTCGGGCTTAAAAACAGAAAATTATGATGGTTGACAATTCTAAGGTACAGGTATACATGTACTGGTACCATCACCTTTCTTGATGTTGTAGGTAGCCATGCATCTGACAAATCATTCCTATTTGTTCAGGGTTACCTAACAATGACCCAACTAAACGTTTACCATGGTCCAGCAAAACAAAAACAAAATAAAAGTACCAAACTAGAAAAATATGGGTAAAGCTACAAAGCTAATTGGTGTTTGGTGGACAAAGGACATCAAGGATAATGAGTTCTCAGTGTCAAGTTAAATCAATGCGATATAAGAAGACTGTTAACATATACATACAAATAATCAGAATGACCTTCAGCCCAGTTTCGGGCTCTAGGTTACAAATAGTGCTGTAGTCAAACGTTTAACCGTCCGGTATCCGACCGCCCATGGCGATTCCGTTTTCAATTGGACGGTTTCGTTTTCCCGTTTTTTTTTTTTCAAGTTTCGATTTATGCCCCTCCACCTGGCACTATGCCTGGCAATGTCTCCCAGCTCAGTAATCCGTGTGTTGACTCACCACTCCAATTTGTCTGTCATCTTGCTTTGAAAGTAATCTTTGTAATAGATCTCAATATGTAGTTTATAATAATAATTCATCCAACTTTCACACTCGGCGTACCACAAGGTTCTATCCTAGGTCCTCTACTGTTTTTAATTTACATTAATGATCTTACACATTCTTCAAAAAACGACATTGTTACTATTATTTGTGACAAGTTCACTAGCACAAATCGGCGGCTTCAAAAGCACCTCGCAGTTAAATGAAAGTCCTTCCCGCTCGGTCAAAAAAAAAATTAAAAAAAATTCTTTAAATTGTTAACCGGTTTTGACTGGAGGTTAAACGGAATACACCAGTTTACGGTTGTATCAGTGCACATGCGCAGACAGTTGACCTCGGGTCATTGGCCCTGAAACAAAGCCAATGACCTGAGGTCAGTGGTATTTATGCGTAAATTAAGATTGCGCCCATGCAAATGATGATGTGCGCGCACAATGCAGCGCGTAGGCAGTGATATCATCATAATTTGCATGGGCGCAATCTCAATTTACGCATAAATACATGACCTCTAGGTCATTGGCTTTGTTTAAAATGGCGCACACAACCATAAACTGGTGTATTGGAGATATCCGTGATGTTACAGCACTAGTTACAAACTACATTGCACCTCGAATGATAAATACTTGAACTCACTTTGTAAAGTGTTTTGTTGACCCTCCTCTCCAACATATTTGGGGGCTTTCTTCCAACTGCCATCATGGATACGAAGGTGACTGACCAGTCCACTCAAATTTGCACGTTTCCTTTAGAAATGGAGAGAAACAAAAAGGGATGAAAAAATCCTCTCTGTAATTGTCACATATTACAGTGTAGTAATGCACAAAGAACTTGCGCATTGAGCGCTGTACAGTGAGTGAGCTGTCAGCTTCAAATTTAAGTGAGAGAGGGCCTACTTAACTAAAGCGTAACTCAAGTTCAATACGTAATATTACGTCACACCACAGAGATTTTGACATGTCATGCTTTAAACAGGTGACTTACTTCAGTTTACACATAACTGACGCACACCGCCGCACACACGATATCTCTGTTTAATTCAGATTCCAATTTCCGATCACCGCAGAACTAGTTTTCGGCATGGCGAGCTCCGGCGTGGGATACCTGCTCCGCCCGCTGGTGCTATAGATCAGCGCGGAAACGCACAGCGTGCGTGCTCGCTTCCTATTGACTTTGTACGTGCGACTGAAAACTGGTTCGCTATGCCGATAACTGCCTCCGAAACAGTGAAAATTGAAATGAATATTATCATGGCAATTCGTGATTTTTTTTCTGGGATTCTTTTTTTGTTTAGATCTAGGATCTAGACCCTAAATAATAATATTTGCTCTATGATTCGAACAAGAAATGATAATAAATAGGAAGTAAAGATTTCAAAAAATAGGATTTTGTCTTAAGTGGCCGAAAACCCCCTCCTTTACTTTTAGATCTAGACTCTAAGAGTCAGTTTTAGAGACACAAATTTAGTGAAAATCTAAAATCTTGTGAAATGTAGCCACAGTGCCGGTGCCGTGCCATGATGAAAAATGCAATTTTAACATGTCGGCAGATAGGAAATGTCTTAAACGTGAACCCGTTGATATAGCTAGTTAATGTGCTGGTGGACAGTGTTGCCCATTTTAGTACACAGCCAGGATAGTGATGCTCCTATCAAACTATGTCTGTGTGATTCCAACTCACATTCTTGTGTACGTTGGCAAGTGCGAACACTTGTCAAAAATACTAACGGATGGGACTAGGTCTACGTTAAAGAGTTCGTTGGCGCGTTTGATGACCGACTGACATAAATTGGTGGGGTATTCTGAATTTAAGCCCAACATACAAAAAAAGATACCTACTGTATTGCGTCCCTGCTACGCCCAATACTACGTATGTTCTTCAAAGCCGTGATTTCTCCGTCATTTTCCTCCTCTTAGTTTTTCTACAGCGACAGGTTCGGTCGTCATTGTTTGCTGAAGTCGGCGATCCGACCGGTAGCCTCTAATCGGGCACATCTACAAGGAGGTCAATGAATATGCATATCAGTGACGTCATGTCAATTTATGAATATTGATGTTCTTGACTGCGCGCGTACGATCGTACGTACGTGCAGAATTGGGGTCATGACTGTACAATGAAGGTAATACGTGCAACACAGTGGTTCAGCCAAATCAGGGCAAAATCTTACCATTATACAGTTGTATTGTCCGTGATTATGAGGTAGAAGTGTTTGAGTGTTAAGTAAATTTATTTAGTGTGGATTTTGATACATTTTTGATACAGTTTATACAAAATTGGCGATTCTTTTGGTCGTTTTTTAACTCCAAAAAACAAGTGACCAACTCGGTCGTCGGCTAAACCACCTCCCTGTAGATGTGCCCGTCTACCTCTACATGTGCCCGATCAAGATAGGGATCGAGTTAGTGTAATAAAATAGTATTCTATATTCAATATCCGAGAGTTCACGGATGTAACATTAAAGCTCCCTTATATAGAAGTTTCACAAATATCAATTTATCTTCTTTTCATGGATTTTCTTTGGATTCTACGTGTTTTACGTTGTCAAACAACCACCTCCCTGTAGATGTGCCCGCCTCCCGCTACATGTGCCCGAGATAAAGGATATGTAGTAAGGCATACAACTTAGTTGTAGCCTATATTGAATTTCCGACATGTCATGAATATAATAAAGCTTCCTAAGATACAAATGAGTTTCATAAATATCAATTTATCTTCTTTTCATGGATTTTCTTTGGATTCTACGTGTTTTACGTTGTCAAATAACCACCTCCCTGTAGATGTGCCCGCCTCCCGCTACATGTGCCCGAGATAGGGGATATGTAGTAAAGCATACAACTTAGTGTTGTAGCCTATATTGAATTTCCGACATGTCATGAATATAATAAAGCTTCCTAAGATACAAATGAGTTTCATAAATATCAATTTATCTTCTTTTCATTGATTTTCGTTGGATTTTACGTGTTTTAAGTTATCAAAACATGCACCTCCCTGTAGATGTGCCCGCCTCCCGCTACATGTGCCCGAGATAGGGGAAATGTAGTGAGGCATACAACCAGTGTTGTATATTGAATTTCCGACATGTCATGAATATAATAAAGCTCCTAAGATACAAATGAGTTTCCTAAATATCAATTTATCTTCTTTTCATGGATTTTCTTTGGATTTTACGTGTTTTAAGTTATCAAAACATGCACCTCCCTGTAGATGTGCCCGCCTCCCGCTACATGTGCCCGAGATAGGGGAAATGTAGTGAGGCATACAAATAGTGTTGTATATTGAATTTCCGTCATGTCATGGATATAATAAAGCTTCCTAAGATACAATTGAGTTTCACAAATATCAATTTATCTTCTTTTCATGGATTTTCTTTGGATTCTACGTGTTTTAAGTTATCAAAACATGCACCTCCCTGTAGATGTGCCCGCCTCCCGCTACATGTGCCCGAGATAAAGGATATGTAGTGAGGCATACAACTAGTGTTGTATATTGAATTTCCGTCATGTCATGGATATAATAAAGCTTCCTAAGATACAAATGAGTTTCATAAATATCAATTTATCTTCTTTTCATGGATTTTCTTTGGATTCTACGTGTTTTACGGTGTCTAACAATCACCTCCCTGTAGATGTGCCCGCCTCCCGCTACATGTGCCCGAGATAATGGTGTAGCCAGACATTATATTATATTATATATTATCTATATGCGTATCTTTCTTGCTCCCTCGACGTGGCGACTCCACCAAACATACCCCCTCTTTCTTACTCACCCCCCCCCCTCTCTCTCTCTCTCTCTCTTTCATCCCCTGTTTCTTTTGTTTTCTTTTTCTCTTTTTTCTTCTTCTTTTGCTCCTTTTCTTCCTTTTCTTTCTTTTCCTTTCTTTCCTATCCTTCCTCTTTATCTCTTCTTCTTTCTTTTCCTTTCTTTCCTATCCTTCCTCTTTTTCTCTTTCTTCCTCCTTTTCCGGACAATATCCTGACAGGCGGGGGTGTCGCACCCCCACACCCCATTTGGGGACGCCCCTGGTTGTAGGGAGTTAGATAATATTCAAACTTTTCGTAAATATACAATATTGCACGATTTTTTTTCCTCCTCATAATAATGTAAGGAAGTAATATTTTCAAGATTTTAAGTCAAATAAGATACGATTTTGCGATCGTAAGGCATTAAGCAAACGGTAGTGTCCCCTATTTTATGTCTTTTTAAAAGTAGGCCTTTATTTTCTTTAAGCTTTGATAATTATATAAAAACATCCCCATAATCTAGCTAATATATTTCCCCCGCTCCAGTGGTGACAAAAAAGGGAAACATAACACACACGTAATCCTATCGTAATTTGTCCCCCTTGTGTGAAATATCCCCCCCTCAACTGATTGGCTAATCTTTGGTGACAAGACGATATATTTTACAAGGAAACCACCTCGACCGAAAAAAAAGACAGATTTAGAACGTGACAGTAAGACAATATATATATGCTTTATGATTACCAACCTCTCCTACGAGATGACCCCGACAATAAGACACTATTTCAAACTCGTGGGAGACAGTGAGCATATAGGATGACAATATATAATGCTTTTTCACAAAAACAAAACAAAAAACACAACAATATATTCCTGTTCTCAATGTGTATGATGAATTGACAGGTGATATGTATATAATGATGTGTTTGTTCTATAATTATCTATCTTGTTTCATGACAACTTACATCAGCCTTAATTTTCGTTCTATGTGTTCCCTTTGTTGTATTTTCTTTCTTTTTATTATGGTTTGGTTATTGAAATTAATTGATTATCTATATTTCGTGTGTGAACCTTTAAGCATGTATATATCGACTCGAATAACTATTACATTTATTTTCTGTGTTTGCTTTGAATTTACCATGTCTCGAATGAATTAATCAATGATTATTTTTTATTGAACCTGCATTCAAATTTATGTTTACATTCCGTATTTTTCATGTGTTTGTTCTGTGTTTATCATTATATCAGGCTCCCTTGTTGCTACGAGGGCTAGATATCCCACCCCAAAATAAAAACGAAGACAAATTTCTCACGGCATTTTTTACTTTAATTGTGTTGCACTAAAAAGACCTTATCAGACCTCCTTACCCATCACCATCACCCTCACCCCAACAAAAAAGACAATAAATGTTTGATTCATATTTGGATTGCATTATCTCTTTGTACGATACATGACGCGAAAACCGTCAAGGTCCGAAAGTGTTCAAGCCCCCTATCCCCCAAAGTCTCAAACAAATCACAATTCCGAAGTGCCCCCCCCCCCCTATACCTCTCACCCCTCTCCGGACAGTAAGTAGGCTCGTGTTCCGGCCCAACCCCGCGTGTCTTTCTTGCTCCCTCGACGAGACAACTCCACCCAACAACCCCCTCTCTCGTTTACTCCCACCCCTCCTCTATCAGGCTCTTAACTCCACTTGTTTCCTTTTTCTCTTTTTGTTTTCTTCTTCCTTTTTCCTTTTTTTCTTTTCTTTCTTTTCCTTTCTTTCCTCTCCTCCCTCTTTTTCTCTCTCCTTTCTTTTCCCTTTTTTCCTTTCTTTTCCTTTCTTTCCTTTCTTTTCCTTTTCCTATTTTCTTTTCTTTTCTTTCCCTCTCTTTCTTCCCCTCCCCCTTATCTCTTTTTTCCCGACGGCAGCGCAATTTTACCGACAATATCCTGACAGGTGGGGGGGGGGGTTGTCGCACCCCCACACTCCCCTCTTTGGAGACGCCCCTGCTCGTATGCACTATTTCGTTCTTGAAACACTGTTATATTATATTTACACAAATTACCTTACAGAAAACATTAACATACCCAAAGAAAGTAGTCCGTCAAATGAATCGTTATCAAACAAATAAATTACTCAAAAGTATACTGAGTAATAATCAACAATCATATTAAAGGATACTGATTTTAAATACAGGCCTCTACACTGTTAAACAAAGTTAAAAGGTAGGTGTTACCAAGCGCGGATCAAGGGAGGGCCGAGCCCCCCAGCCAAAAAAAAAAAAAAAAAGGAGAGAGCGAGAAGGGAAAGGGAAAGAGAGAAAGGGAAAAAAGAAGAGGAAGAAGAAAAGAAAAGAGGGAAGAAGGAGATCGGGGGGGGGGACTTGCCTTCCAGGCTGTTACCCCCCCCCCCCCCAATCAAAAAATAAAAGAGAAGGAAGGAAAGAGAAAGAAAAAAGGAAAAGAGGAGATAAAGGGAAGGAAAAAAGAGGAAGAAGAAAAGAAAAGAAGGGGGATATCAGTTGCAATTTTCCCGCCAACAAGTTGTGGATAGGGAGGAAGGCCTTTGCCCCCCCACCCCCCCCCCCCCGTCCCTGCTAACAAAAAGAGAAAAGGAATGAAAAGGAAAAGAGGAGAGCTAAAAGGGAACAAAAAAAAAGGAAGAAGAAAAGAAAAGGGAGAAAAGAAGGGGAGATCAGTTGCGGTTAATCCCGCCAACAATGTGTGGAGCGGGTGGGGGTCAAAATGACTTTGCCCCCACCCCCAGCAAATCTAAAAGAGAGAGAGGGAAGGAAGGGAAGGGAAAGGGAAAGAGGAGAGAAAGAAAAAGAAGAAAAAAAGAGAATGAAGATAGGTAAGGGATATCAGTTGCAATTCCAACAAGGTGTAGATCGGGGGGGGGGGGGCTTTGGGGAAATAAAATTCAAACGTGGTTTATTTCTAATTCCATAACGGTTGTTTACAAATAATGGTGAAATGACATCCTTTACATTCATGTCGGAAATTCAATTTACAACAGTAGTTGTATGCCTATTTTCTACACTCCCCCTATCTCGGGCACATGTAGCGGGAGGCGGGCACATCTACAGGGAGGTGGTTATTTGACAACGTAAAACACGTAGAATCCAAAGAAAATCCATGAAAAGAAGATAAATTGATATTTGTGAAACTCAATTGTATCTTAGGAAGCTTTATTATATCCATGACACGACGGAAATTCAATATACAACACTATTTGTATGCC